TATGTCTCTCTGTGTATGTATGCGTGTGTTATATAGAAAAATATATAATTAGATTTAGTAGTCTACAAAAAAGTTTCGAAAATCCTAATATTATAATTTCCTTATATTATTTATATTGGACAATGCCTATGTATAGGTAAGTTTTTTGTGTGCATAACTTTAAATAAAATATTTTATATACATTTTAATATGTGTAGTAGAAGAATATACTTTTTACCTACATATTATATTAATATAAATAAAGTAACTTAAATTCTTTAAATATATGGGCATATTCTTTCAACTAATTCCTTCTTTAACACATTAAGTTACATGTATTATATGTTGTCTTAGGAAGTTGCTGTTAAATTGGAGAACATGCGTGCTCGGCATCCGCAACTCCTATATGAATCGAAATTATACAAAATTTTACATGGAGGTGTAGGAATACCTCACATACGTTGGTAGGCTTCCATTTCATATTGTTCTTTGATTTGTCTTCTGCATTTACGATTTATGGATGTTGTAAAAACCTGTTATTTCTTGTTGAATGTAGGTATGGACAAGAACGTGAATATAATGTACTTGTTATGGACCTTCTGGGTCCATCCCTCGAGGACCTTTTCACATTCTGTTCGAGAAGGTTCACAATTAAAACAGTTCTAATGTTGGCAGACCAAATGATTGGTAGGATCGAGTATGTTCACTGCAAACATTTTATCCACAGAGATATCAAACCAGATAATTTCTTAATGGGTATTGGTCGTCACTGTAATAAGGTAAGTAATATGGTATTTAAGATGCATTGGTAGTCACTGTTTCAACCGGATATGTAAATAATTTTTAAGAACTAATGCGAAGGAATTGTAATATTTCAGCTGTTTCTTATTGATTTTGGATTAGCTAAAAAATATAGAGATAGTCGCACAAGAATGCATATAATATACCGAGAAGATAAAAATTTAACGGGCACTGCAAGGTATGCTTCAATCAATGCACATCTTGGAATAGAACAAAGTCGTCGCGACGATATGGAATCCCTTGGTTACGTGCTTATGTATTTCAATCGGGGATCCTTGCCCTGGCAAGGACTTAAAGCTGCTACTAAAAAGCAGAAATACGAGAAAATCAGTGAAAAAAAGATGTCCACGCCTGTGGAAGTTTTATGTAAGGTATGTTTTTGTTTCACATTCCTCTTTCCCTACTTTTTCGTTTCGGAATAAGATGAATCTAAAAGTTGATTGTACTTTTCAAATATTTCATTTTTAGGGATTCCCTGCTGAATTTGCAATGTATTTAAATTACACTCGAGGTTTGCGCTTTGAAGAAAGTCCAGATTACATGTACCTACGTCAACTTTTCCGTATACTTTTCCGTACGTTAAATCATCAATATGACTACACGTTTGACTGGACGATGTTAAAACAAAAAACAACACTTCCTACGACCGGAGCAGGTTCTTCCTGTTCGGTAGCAGTCCCACAGGTTGCTCAAGGGCAAGGGCAAGTCCTTGGTCAGACAACTGCTAAAGCCAACGATCCATCAGGTGCTTATATTAAAAAAGGAGAAAATTTTAATCATTATTAATATATGCATTTTCTTCTATGCCAGCGATTTACATGTGTCATAAATGCATAGAGATCCGCAGTCTAGTTATTATCGCGTTATGTTTCTTTTGAAAAAAAGCATGCGTAAACATTATGTAATGATTTCATAAAAGAATTTCTATTCAAATTTAACAAAATATTATTAGTTGTCGCAACCGTTATTAATAGTAATGTATCTGTTCGATTAATTTTGTTAATATGGAACTTATATTTTGTTGCAGGGGCACGTTAAGACTATATTCATATGTCATTGCATCAATCCTATTTTCAGTCGATTGTGTCCAAGATCAGGTACACGACTTTGTACGAAATGCCATGCAAAGAGTTAAATCAATCAACCCTCTAAGTTTATACACATAAAGGAGGTGTTATGCGATGACTATAGCGTATCGTACACAATAAAGAACAATGCCACGGATACACGTTTCTGAATTCACTTCTGAACAGTGAAAAAATACTTCCGTGTATTCATTCTCAGTTCTTAGAGTTTTGGTTGATCCACCTCTTTGGGCTTAAAACTCCAAGTGGTGGCTTGTTCTTAATTTGTTAAGATCTATTTAATTCACCGTTGAAATATTCGAAATAAAGATTTTGATGCCCCGGAGACCTCTGCAAAGGAGTACACAACAGTGTAATGTGTGATTTAATCGAGAATTCGACACATATAATTTTCATAGAAAGAAAGAGAGGCAGCGTACTAACGAGTCGTAAAAATATTCGGGGTAATCAATTAAGTAATTATATAAAATTTTATATCTATTCTGCAAATAGAAAGAAAAGTATGCGAGAACAAGTGAATGAGTGATCATGTGCGAGGATGAAAGAGATTATATGAATAATTGTACTGAGAATGATAAGTATAGTGTTGCTTCCCGATTTTCATTTCAATCTCAGTACAATAATAGTATAAATATGTGTGTGCATCTATGAGAGGAGAAATGTTAATATTTTTCTTACATAAGCTACCGTGTCAACAGTATCAAAGATCTCCCTTTGATATTATTGACCCTGATAACAACTTTTTTTTTTATATAAATATATATACATAACGTATACATAGACTCATACATGCGTACATGAGAGTAAGTGACAGTATCACGGAAGTAAATACTGGCAATTAATATTGAAGTACGTTAATATTAAGGCAGCAATTTAACTTTTAGATACATTGTATCAATCAAGAAAATGAACAAATTTCAAAATGATTTCGTCCTGAAAAAATTTGCTTCTTCACTCTCTTTCTTTCTTTGGCTATATTTAGTCCATAAACAAAACAAATATTGAACAAACTCTTTTTGTACTGGAGATGGATTGCAGGATTGTCTTTTAAACGAGTAATTGACTCGTTGTGAAAAGTAGAAATATGGAAATAGAAGAGTAGGAGTTGGTTGTGTCTCGATTGAAAAATAATACTGTAACCGGATTCAGCCGAAAGACTTCTTCCGTATAGTTTTAATGGCAGAGACTGTGCAGTGGTATTTTCCCGTGCTATTGCTTCGATGTTAAGTTTATAAGGCGTGACTTAAAAAAGAAAAAACATTAATCGATCAGTTGATCGATTGTTAAATATGTATAATGAAACGTCTAATGTGAAAGTCACGCGCAACGCGTACGCCGATTAGGGAGGAGTTCATGAAAACTCACTTCTGTCATTGAAAGTTTTCGTTCACATTAACCATACTATTAGTAGTTACGTCAATATTCACGCGTCCATGTTCCACGCACTACTTCCAAAACGTTGTATAATCACAGTCATTGTTAACTCATCACTTGTCCTGTTTCGTGGAGACATTTTAAAGGAAACGTCCGGTCAGCCTTAGTGGAATTTATTAATACAAGGATGAGCACGACTGGATTTTATGTTTATTATTATTATTGTATTTCTAATGGACAACACATTGTTTCATGAAGTTTCTGGACAGTGATTAAAAGAAGGAGATATAATCATTAACGAGTGAATGTGTGGTTAATTATTATTATTTTTATTATTATTAATATTATTATTATTGCAAAGGAGGGAAACGAAGAAACAAAACGAATGAGTAAAAATGTGTATTACCATGCAGCGAGAATGAGTGAACGAGTAAGTTAATGAATAATTAATGATATATGCACTTACTATCTGGTATGTGTATATGTATATATATACAGATAATACTATATATATGTACATGTATGTATATGTGTCTGCGTATATATACATATATACATGTGTGTATTTATAATAAAATTGTGACAGTAATTAAGGCATACGTTATTTCATAAATAATGAAAAATACGTCAACAGTTTATTGCTCCTTTTATCGCTGTAAATAAAAAATGAAACATTGTATTATATCCTCTATTTCATTAAGTATCAATTTTTAATGGCAATACGCAAATCATTACCATTTCCTAACATACGATGGTAATACAATTGTTTAGAGTAAATTATATATATATATATATATATATATATATAAAACAATTCCCAGAGATAGTTTCTATGCTATACGCTATATGCTATTCTCGACACGCGAGAAGGGAGTACATGTAAAAGATATTTATGTAAATGTTTTTAAGCCGTATATTTGACAAATTCGTAAAAGATATTATACAAAAGCCATAGAGACGACGAACGTTACTGTTCAAATTGTTAATAATAATAATGAAATTATTCGAATTTATAATACGATAAAACGTTGCAGTCTACCAGCCACGATGCGCCAGTCATCGTGCTGTAGCCAATCGGAAATAAATAAATTCGCAGGCTTCAAAGTTACGTCTTCACTAGATTTAATTTGTTCCTTTCTTCGGATGTAAAAGACTCTCAATCGTTTGCTTCTCGTATATAAAATAGACCGAGTATACGCAAGTGTATAGGAATATGTTGGTCTACCGCAGTATGTGCAAGCGAGCATGAAACAAAGACGGCTATCAAATCAATATACTCTACAGCCGCATTCCACTTCGTAATCTCTGCAGTAGCACATTCTTCCACACCGAGGATATACAAATACGAAAATTAATAACATAACAGAGAATGAATTTTCCTAAGTTCCTGTGTTCCTACATTGACGGTGAAATATTGTTCGGGACCGTCGTGAGGAATCGATATCTCTGCAGCAAACAATTGATTTTCTTGCATAGCTGCAGCCATCTCACGATTTGGAAACACTGCAAAATTAGCTTCAGCCATTCCGCCCTTTGTTCTTTTCACAATTTCCTCCCAAACCTCGCCCTAGAAGCAATAAGTTGCATTATTGACAATTCTATCAGAGTAATAGCCAATGTTACTTACGACTAATTGATCTACTCGTTGTTTCAGTTCTCTTATAACCATTTGACGATGCAGCAATTGATAAATTGGCATTGCCTTCTCTAACGTTGGTCCTTCGACATCCTGTGTTTTCTTGCGTCTTAAGTCAGGAACAGTTGGGAACGTCATAGCTTGTTTAATATCCTGTTAGTGAAACAATAAGAAAATTAATTATACGGGTAATATCAATAATCACAAAATAATAGATTTTGAAACTGACTTTGGTAAGATCGTTAGTTTTCTTCTTCAGCTCTTGTATTGTTGTGTTCGTAGCTCCTGGTTTGGGTACAGGCGTTATGGGATCTAAACGTTCTAATTTCTCACGCAAAGCGTCAGACATTAATTTCTTCTTCTGCCGATTCTCATTGTTCAATGCTTCTTTGAGGGCACCTATTTCTCGCATTAAGAATTTATTGTCCATCGATTGGATTCCTGATGTCGCTGTACCGGTTCCAGAGATATTATCCGCACCAGACGCAGACATTATTGATTTCTTTCCAATAGATTTCAATTTCTCTTTAAGCTGACCTCTTTCGGTTTCTAGGCTATCGATATCCGTCTGAAGATGATCCATTGTCTCCTCAAACTCTTTTTCCTTCCGTTTGAATTGATTCTGAGCTTCTTCCAGCTTCCTCTTCAGCTTCTCTACATTCAATTCGTGTTCATGCTGCTGCGTTGCGAGCTTCTTTTCTGCAACATCTTTTCTCAGAATCATTTCACACAGCTCATTTTGTTTCTCCCTTAAAGCTAATTTCGCTTCACGAATATCACTATCTCTGGCTTCCAATTTTCTACTGAGCACCTTGGTTTCTTCGGCCTCTTTCCTCGCTGTCTGTGCCCTTATGGTAATAGGCATTACAGGTTCATTGTCAGCACCTTGTGCTTGTCGCAGGTGTCCGCTTATAGCCAATTCGTTCTCACATTCGGCCATCTTTTGTGCTAGGTTGGCTGCCAATTGTTGAATCGCTATCAAACTCGCCTTAATAGTAGGTACAGGCCCTATATCCTCTGTATCATAAACTTTCTCGCAGGCAATGGCGGCCATCTCTTTTAGTTTTTCCGCACTTAGCCCTGCATCCAAATCCGTATTTGATATAATTGCCTGCACGGCATTCTTCAACAACGTTTGGAACGTTTTCACAATCTTCACCGCATGCTGATAACAACCAAACATCTGCTCGCTAGCATCTTTGTCTAAACCTAAGTTAAATTCAGCGGCATTAAGAGCAACAGCATGATCGGTTAGCACGCGTCTTCTAGCAGACTTTAGATGCTGTTGTATCACCTCACAAGTTGTCTCTGCATGTTGGCAAAGGAGACCTATATCACCGCCATCTCCTTGAATCAACGTTTTAACAGCTGCTGCACTCGTAATGATAGCATCGCAACAACTGTCCAACATTCTCGTACCATTGACCACCATGCGACCTTGGTTGATGGTCTCCCCAAATAAAACAGAGAACATGGTGCAGAAATATGCGCAACACTTCTCAATCGCCTCCATCGGCAGATTTTCATCCAATTGATCCCTCTTAGCCAGTTCTATCAACGAGTCCAAAGATTTTTCTTGTGCGGCCATTTCCGGATAAGCTACTCCAGCCTTGAGCAACATGTCTGGAGGACAAACGCTCAAAGATGATTCGAAACAGCCGAGGGACGTTTGTAACGCGTACATATACGAGCAGAGATGCGATCTGAACGTATATTGTGCCACCGAATGACCCTTGACGACGGCCGTTCTGTCGATCTTGTCCAGCGATCTATATTTATCCCTGACTTGCGATATGATTATTTCTGTCTTGTGGATTATTCTCGGTATCAGCAGAAGAGTCTGGATAGCATCATGGTCTCCTCCGCGGGCCAGGAACGCTGGAGGCATAAACGATAACAGATAGGCAACGTGGTTACGAGCCTCTTCGGCTTCCAATCGTCGTAATTCAAGATCAACGGCCTTCGTTTGCGCGCGAGTCTCAGCGAATGTTTTTTGGAAGTCTAAGATCTCTGCCAATTGTTGCTCCGCTCCACCCATTCCAGGTTTCGAGGTCTCCGTCGATTGTACTCGTTGTTGCAACTGCATACATTGCTCCTGCAGTTGATGCGTCAGCTCACGGAATTTAGTAATTGTCAGCTCACGGTCGGCTAATGTTTCCATAGCTGCGTCGCGATGACGATAAGCGTCACGAGCTGATCCAAGTGCCATATCCAATTCCTCTCGCAGTTCCAATTCCAGTTCTTTTGACGATTCGGCAAGTTGATCGGACATGTCCTAAACAAAAGGTGTATAACAGTCTTTTTATTATAGATCTACCAAATATTGTCGCTCTAAATACCTGTAAAGCTTCCAAATCCGACACAGCTTCTTCTAATTCCGCGACCTTCTCCTCCAGTGCCATTTTTTTTTCACCAAGCACTTCAACCATTTCTTCAGCACCTAATGCCACGTCCACCTAAATTGTTATGTTGTCATTGTTACATTGATGATGCCAAAAAAATGATAATTATTTATCAAAGGATTTAAAGAACATATTTTATGGTCATTTACCTGTTCCTGCAAATCCGCTATCTGATGTTCCATTTCTTCCACTCGAACAGATAATTTCTCCTTTGTGCGTCCCAATTCCAGTATCTCAGATTTCTTTTGATCCAGGTCCTTTTGAAGCTTCTGGAATTCGTGTTTCTCATGAGCAGACAAATCGCGCATTCTAACAAGAGTTTCCCGCAATCTATTATTTTGCTGTTCCAATTGTTTTATCTCATAGCTCGTAGTTCCTGTGGTTGTACCACCTCCAGCAGACTGTAATCATTGTTAGACATCAATGAAATTGCTCTCTATGTGTAATGCAACGTTTATACATGTCAAATACTTTACTCTTTCAGACATTTCTGTTCGTAGTATTTCCAAGTCTAGCGTTTGTTCTTCGACCATCTCCTTGAGCTGCTCCAATTCAATTTGTAAAGTCTCAGCCTTCTCTTCGGCCATCTCTTTGTCTAATGTAGCCATTTCTACGGTCTCCGCGAGGTCTGCCATTTCTTCTTGGAATTGTTCTCGAGCTGCGTGCGCTTCTCTTGCTTCTTGGCGTGCTCGTTGAAGTTCTCTTTGAAGACCAGCCTTGGGTCATGTTTGAGAAATTAGTAAAGTATATGTATGAAAAGTTCTAATAAAATATCTAAATCTTCTTACTTGACTTTCCATAACTTTTGTTTTGAATTCCACAAGCTGATCAAGTTGAAGTTTTGTTTTCTCAAAGTCCTTCATTCGCTCCTTATCTTGCATTCTTTTCACCCTCAAAGTCTCAACTTTTTCGGTGAGGTCACGAACCTTCAACAACACGTTATCCCTTTAATAAGACGCTATAATGAAAAAATGAGACGATATATTTACAGGATCCATCTTACTTGTGATTTCAGATTTTCATTCTCTTGTTGAAGCTGCAAATGTGTAAGTTTCTCTTCTACCACATTTGCAGCTGCTGCAGAGCCTGCCATTACCTGACCAGGTACGAACTGTGGTTTCAGAGTCTCCACAAAACCTGTCTAAATTTCAAAACAAACAACACATAAGTATCTGGCTAAACGTGAGCCGGGTGTTTTTTTAATTATCGCATCGAAAGAAACCTTATTGGCAGAAGAGCTTCTTCAAATCCTTCTGCATATAGCCGGTATATCCTAAAATATTTCATTTTCAACTGAAGGTTTTATGAATGATGCAACCAAAGACAAAATTTTGTATCTGCGTTAATGAAAAAAACACCCTGTACTTCCTGTACAAAAAGTATATTATGTTTTAGAAGAATGTTGTTTTTGTATGTACATTCAGTAGAATTAGTCTATTTCAAAGTGATTAATGAGATTAATTGTAATAAACGACACCAACAAGCTACACCGAATACTCTATTAGTTCTAATAAGTGTAGGAAATTCAGTCGATGAGTTGAATTGTGTTATATGATATTGGAATTTGCAGTATGCAGAATATCAACTAAGTAAACTATTGTATCCTATCCATTTATACGTATTAACTGCGTTTATACCAGGGATATCTAATTTTTGGTCAGTGATGAAAAAATAAAGAAAAGGTTCAAGTAGTAGTATACCTTTATACCACAATGCTGTTAAGTGCTTATTCTTACAGAAGTTGTTATTGCCACCTTGGTAGTACGACTGCAAGGGGAATTCAGTATCTAATTGTTAAAAAAAAAGGAAAGAAAGAAAGGAAGAACTGTGTATCTGAATACCCCTTTCTTTTGAAAAGTTTCAGGCTATCAAGCATCACATAACTGAATTAACAAAGCAGATGCTTAACGCAACAATGAATATGGTGGAGGATAAATTAATTAGATAATTCATTAAGAATATAGGTAAACCCATCAAAGTGCAATGATGCTGCTAGTTGTTATGAAGTCATGTGTTACAATGCTTATGATCAACAAACAACTAGTATGAGAGAGTTTAAGGTCAGATGAGAAAAATTTAGATATTACAATTAATGAGTATTAATTACATTATTGTGATCATCTTGGGCCTTTGGCTTTTTGCCGGGAGGCGAGCTCGTGCTAGGGGACTTCTGAAACACGTACGTGCATATTCCCATATGAATCATTCTGTGCCAAAGGATCTCTCTAACTTCTTCTCAAATTTTAATTTATTCTTTTCGTTATTTCGCTGAACAGTTCCAAGAATATCTCTGGCAATGAAACACATGCACTGGGAGGATTTGTTACATGATTACCATGTCACAGATTAAGATTCTTTAAAAACATATAGTAACAAAATTTTGTGAGTTACTTTTCAACAGCCTGAAGATTCGAAGATAACAATATATCAATGATTTCCTGTTAATCAACTGTAATCATTTTCCACATGTACATATATTCCTTTGTTTCATTAAGAACATTATACCATATATTCATGCCTTGTTGAATCCTCAAAAATAATTCACTGACTGTGTTCACATAAATAAATGGTACATCGACTTATTATATTCACAAGTGTGAAAATCATCATTTTTGAAACAGAAAGACAATACCTCAATAAATGATGCTCTTTTGGTGGAGGTCGGTGCTGGTATGAGTGATTCCCCACCATCTTTGCGCTCATGTTGTGATCCAGACAAACTTTCTGTACTTGGAGCACTTAAAAGTGTTCTACTGCCAGCCAGTGATAATCGTGAGCTGCAAAGATCATACTTTTTATAAATTATTTTATGAAGCAATTGTCAATTTCCATTGACAATCGTTAACGTGATACAACATAAGATTTTTTATTAGTGTCATTATAGTTACACCTTCTTGCATCTAAATTACATAAACTTTAAAAGCTAGAAGAATAATAGTAAATTATGATACAACTTAGACGTTACCACTAAATACATTGATTATACTTTTCTTGATACTTAATATTGTTTGTCTATGAACAAAAACATATTGGTATGTATGTGTGCGCTCGGGCGTGTGTGTAATTTATGTATCTGTATATATATATACCTTTAACTGTGTTTATGTAACACTGACCCATAAACAAAAAAATGTTTTGTTCAATGATGAGTACACATTTACATCTTTTTATGTTAATTATTTATAAATCTACAATAAGAAAGCTCGTGGCTGTGATATTGCACAAAACCATTAAAGTTCAGAGAAGCGATCACAATTGTTGCTGTTTGCATACACAAAAGCATTTAAACAAAATACCGAGACACTCATTTTTCAATGATCGATTTACATAAAATCTTACCCAGAGAGCTTGTCAGATTGCTGCCGGGTAACATGCGCAAGAGATGTTTTTCTCCGTACTCTTTTATGACCAGCGTATGAATTTTAACAGTTTATTAATTATACTTGTCTAATTAAACCTATTCTTTCTTTCAAATGATTATTGTGGATATATTAAGATTAAGCATTTAATTTTTATAGTCAAAAATGTTAAATAAACATTTATAAAAGTAGAAACTTACGCAGTGGGTTCATTCCTTCGAGGTGTACTAATGATAGCATGAAATTTATGACAAAAAAAATTAATCACAGTTCCAAAAGATATGCAAATTTTGTTCTTAACAAACAAACGCAAGGCATACCTATTTAACCGACTTCTGGCTCTTGCAACACTGGCCTCATCTGGAGTTGTGGCACTGCTGCCTGCTGAAGATGGGCTAACAGGTTCTGTCCTATTACCTGTTTCATCCAGTAAAACAAGCTGTGATTGCCGTACAAACATTCCATGATTTTCTGGGCACTAGTGTAATAAATAGAGGAAAATAAAAATTGCAAGATATATTTTAGCTCTATGTAGACTGTTAGCTAAAAGTAATACAGAAACCATGAAACATACTTTAAAGTATGGCTGACCCCTAATAGTACCGTTGTTTTTTCCTTTTGGTTCATCAAGTATAACTCCAATCCATTTTCCCGAAGCGAAACTTGGATAACCAATATAAGCTATTACTCCTTGACAGTCCTTGCCAGGGACTTCAACTCGTTGCCCGATTTTATACGACATTTTAACAGCAGCAGCGTATTAAGTGCGATTTTCTATAAGCACGCCCATTAGCTCGTCTATCCTAAGAAAACTTCCATGAAATTTTGTTTAAATGTTACACATCTCTTTCCTTTTACGAAAACGTTCCATACAATGCAACTAAAATTACTGACAGCGACAGCATACGCATACGCTACAATACCGACTTACTGAAAGTGCCGTCATCTATATTACATATGTATACTTATGTCAGTGGTACTCATAATTTCGTTTGAATTGTAGAATGGAATAACAATATTAATATTGTTTCTCTATTTCAGTTACATAATTTCCGTTATTGTATATATTTCTAAGTCTCTTAGGGCATACAGATATAATTGCACAAGTTTATTTTCGATTATTTCTGAAAATGTCATATGTACAGTGTAATGTATTGTTTGAAAATGAACAAACGCTGTTTGGTGTATGTATGTATGTATGCATGTATGTACAATCGTGAACTTTTGACATAAAAATCTTTCGATCAATGTGCTTCTAGTAGAAACAATAATTGTTTATCACATTTACTTTTATTTTTATTCTAAGTTCATCAATAGTTTATATATAGAGAAGGGAGTAAAAACTTTTGTTATACAGTACTGCCTCCTCATCGCGAGCGATATTTACCTCTTCTTTCCGAGCGCTTTTATCCCCACCATTTCAATGCGCAATCCAGCTCGCGCAGTTTTTAAAAGTAAAAAACTAATTTTGCAATAAAATTGCAAAATTATTCATTGCTTTCGAAACTCTTTCCCGTTGAGTAGAATACTGCTTGCTAACCGTCTCAGTTGATAATTACTGGGATAGTTGAATTAACAAAATATTGTAGATTCTAAAATTAGAAAGTATTATCTAAAATGTAGCTTACGGGTTTTCGAAAATTTTAATAATTGTAGAAATGGTCGCCATTTTAAGACGTTCGCGAATACGCTGGACTGTGTGGTAGAGAATCATGAGGCGCGAAAAGTACAAGTCGAATATCACGGTGAGTGTTCAGAGGGAGCACCACATGCAAATGGATTCACGAATAGAGTGAGATCGCAAGCATGATAAAGTGAGGCAAGCTACATTGGCAGCACTGCTTACCTACGAAGAGTCAACCAATCAGAGAAAAGCAGTATCTGTACTTACCGTTATATTCCTGGACGCTTTACCTCCGCCATTGCTCAATACAGTATAGTGCTCAATAGTTTTTCCTCCACAACGTGTTACGATTCCAGANCTGAAAGTGCCGTCATCTATATTACATATGTATACTTATGTCAGTGGTACTCATAATTTCGTTTGAATTGTAGAATGGAATAACAATATTAATATTGTTTCTCTATTTCAGTTACATAATTTCCGTTATTGTATATATTTCTAAGTCTCTTAGGGCATACAGATATAATTGCACAAGTTTATTTTCGATTATTTCTGAAAATGTCATATGTACAGTGTAATGTATTGTTTGAAAATGAACAAACGCTGTTTGGTGTATGTATGTATGTATGCATGTATGTACAATCGTGAACTTTTGACATAAAAATCTTTCGATCAATGTGCTTCTAGTAGAAACAATAATTGTTTATCACATTTACTTTTATTTTTATTCTAAGTTCATCAATAGTTTATATATAGAGAAGGGAGTAAAAACTTTTGTTATACAGTACTGCCTCCTCATCGCGAGCGATATTTACCTCTTCTTTCCGAGCGCTTTTATCCCCACCATTTCAATGCGCAATCCAGCTCGCGCAGTTTTTAAAAGTAAAAAACTAATTTTGCAATAAAATTGCAAAATTATTCATTGCTTTCGAAACTCTTTCCCGTTGAGTAGAATACTGCTTGCTAACCGTCTCAGTTGATAATTACTGGGATAGTTGAATTAACAAAATATTGTAGATTCTAAAATTAGAAAGTATTATCTAAAATGTAGCTTACGGGTTTTCGAAAATTTTAATAATTGTAGAAATGGTCGCCATTTTAAGACGTTCGCGAATACGCTGGACTGTGTGGTAGAGAATCATGAGGCGCGAAAAGTACAAGTCGAATATCACGGTGAGTGTTCAGAGGGAGCACCACATGCAAATGGATTCACGAATAGAGTGAGATCGCAAGCATGATAAAGTGAGGCAAGCTACATTGGCAGCACTGCTTACCTACGAAGAGTCAACCAATCAGAGAAAAGCAGTATCTGTACTTACCGTTATATTCCTGGACGCTTTACCTCCGCCATTGCTCAATACAGTATAGTGCTCAATAGTTTTTCCTCCACAACGTGTTACGATTCCAGAGACGTGAGCAGATCTCAAAGCTAAGGAAACTATTTTATCTTCATCCTGATTGGTTGGCGATTCGTTGCAGCTTTACGATTGGTTATAATTTAAATTTAGTAGGTATGTAAACGCTGAGTTTTAAAGATCCCAAAAATGCGATATTACAGAGGGAATACTGTATCAGGGCTGTAGTAAAGCATGCTCTTATATTTTTATTCTGTAATTCTAATAAATATGACCATATTCAATTCTATACGATACTTGAAACATGTTTAATTCGTTTATTCGAGAAAAATAGTTCTCATTTGAATTATTAATTTGATTCTCGATGGTTCAGATTTATGTGGTTTGTAATTAAGTAGAACGCTATTAATCTATACAAGTTCTGACGACTGTACATATATGCACACAGCATCAAAATAACATTTTACATTGCATTTTTCATGAAATAATTTCATTTTTAGATGCACACATGCACTCATCGGATGCGCCATCGAAACAGTAAACACTTATTAGCACATGGATCTTTAATAGTTGTACATTTACAAAAGATTGCTGCGAAACATTATCATCGTTTGGTTAAGATGACGTTTTGGCAACGCTGACATCGAATGAGCTTTGTTTCTACTTAACACTGTATATCTTCTTTATACAGTAAATTCTAACAAAGTGGTGATGGCTAATCATTACGAGGTGCCTAATTGGTACGTTTGCGAAATAAATTTTTATTGCCATTTTCCAACCAATGTCACAACACATTCATGACACTTATACTATGCATCCAAATAGTTTATGTATTTCCCAAATAGCATAATTCACATAGGTTATGTTTTTAGGGCAGGAAAGCCACCAGTTGGGTTACATCTAGATGTATTAAAAAATGACAAATTAATTCAGGTACAATACCCCTCAATTGTATTTGAAAATAAACAAAGCGTGTCCCTAAAGAAAATGCATTACAAGAACTGTTGTTTTGTTACAGAAACTAATGGTTGACGAAAAGAAATGTTACCTGTTTGGCCGTAATCAACAATTAAATGATTTTTGTATAGACCATGCCTCTTGTTCCCGTGTCCACGCAGCTCTTGTTTACCATAAACATCTGAACCGTGTGTTTCTTGTTGATTTGGGTAGCAGTAAGTGTTTCTATACTTCTTTCAAGCTTTCATTACCGATTACTAATATAAATTAACTTTTCAGCACATGGAACCTTCATTGGAAATCTGCGATTGGAGCCTCACAAACCCACACAGCTACCAATCGATAGTACATTTCACTTTGGAGCTTCAACTCGATATTATATAATCAGAGAAAGGCCTCAAACAGGTACAAGACCCATTATAGAAGAATTGGAGAAGTTATCAGAAGATATAGATGCAGGTGGTTTACTAGGTTTGCCTGAAACAGAGACAGAACTTGATGTACGTATTACATACAAAAAGACAAAATAGACGTAATAGTAACACATACAAAACAGACATAATAGTAACAGTGGTGTATCTTACAGAATTTAACAGAATTTAATACTGCACACAATAGACGTATATCAATGTTGGGTATAACGGACGATGAGATCCATAAACCGACGAGAAAACGAAAGAAAAAAGGGATTACTTTCAACGATGATGAAGAAGTAATTAATCCAGAAGACGTTGACCCGTCTGTCGGTAGATTTCGTAATCTTGTACAAACAACCGTTGTCCCCAGTAAAGTAAGAACTTGAAATCAGTTCTGGTATAATCGAATTTCTAATTATATATTTACGTGTCATGTAATGCTATTTTAGAGAATGCGTATGGAAGGAGGATTAATTTCTTTATCGGAGGACCACAATCCATTGAAGCATCTGCAACCTACGTCGACTGCGCCCCAGCTCTATCAGGATTTGCCACCAGAACAATTCACACCCTCCTCGTTGTCACTTAATCCATTCTCTAGCGCACTGTCTTCGCTAACATCTCGGCTTGGTATAGCTCTGCCAAATCCAGCCCCTGAGGTAGAGATGACACCCACACAAATACAATCGGAAGCGCCGCATGTACCGGAAATGTCTGGGCCTACCGAAACGCGAACTTTGGAACCAAAAAAGAAAAAGTATGCCAAAGAAGCGTGGCCTGGGAAGAAGCCCATACCAACGCTTTTGGTATAACAGTCTCAGGAAATTATATTTTTCTTACATTTATCTATGATACAGGTTATATATATATTAAGTTGTGTAAGAAATTTGTGTATAAATTTAACGTGGAAATTTCGATAAATATGTTTAGTTAACGTTGCATAATTATATATTCATACCTTGACGCTTTCAGCTAAATTGATTTTAAGTATAATATATATATATATATATATAACTATCATTAGTTCTTTAGTAGTCATTTCATTGAATTCATTTTTTTTATCTGATTCACGTTCGACCATTTCAATCTGACCATTATCGTTTATGTATAATCTTCTTGCAACGATCAAAATTGTAAGTAAAAATTTCCTGTAAGATAAAGGAACACGAATAAACAAGGTTTTATCTTACTTTAGTGTTAAGAGCGTTTGCACAAGTTTTAAAAACATAATATTAAGAACTTTCTTTTGTGATACGATGCATATATGTTCGCTTCAAATAATTTAATTTAATTTTACCGAGTATGTAGAGCTTTTATAGTTTGAAAGAATTTCGTTTAAGACTTAGTTAAAACGTATGCATCGCAGCAACAATGTTATCGAGCTTACAATCAGTTGAGGTCGGTTTCAAGAATATAGTGGATAATAATTGTTATTCGTGTATTTAGTGCAATGACTTAATGAATTTAATATTGATTTATGTTTAAGAGATTCTCTTGTATTTGTCAATAAACGTCGACTGCGAAAATAATGTTACACAATGCGTGAGGTTTCATTTTTTTCCTTGGAAATGTTAACAGAATGTAATGAAAAACGCGTGATCGATGATACATATTTTTATTTCTACAATATACACGACTGCATTGAGAATGGATAATTTTATTAGAAAAATAAAGACATAAAACATGGTAAACGAGATATAAAAAGATGTTTCTGTCTCACGGTACAATTTATCGTCTCGTCCTCGACTTGAATTTCGCGCGGTCAGGTAGCCTGGTATTGCCGTCATGATACGATCCAAAGGACAGGTACGAATCTGTTTTGTATTCAATATTCTAAAGAGGCGTCTGGACTGCTCGATGATTCAAGGGCCACTTCCTCGTAATCACGCTCGAGAGCAGCAAGATCATCGCGGGCTTCCGCGAACTCGCCCTCTTCCATTCCTTCACCAACGTACCAGTGAACAAACGCTCGCTTATTATACATAAGGTCAAACTTGTAGTTCAACTTGGCCCATGCCTCTTCTATTGCTGTAGTATTCGACAGCATTGAAACTGCTCTTTGCACCTAAACGATCGTCAATGATGTATCCTTGGACTTTTAGGATTCTCAAAGAAATCCTTCACTTTAAAATCCGAGGTAAATTTTTATTCGCATCTTCTTTTATATTATAAAATAGCGCCTAAAGAAAATTTGACCTTGGACTTTAAGATAGAAGATTAGCATATCTCTACCGATAAGATAGCGTAGTTGCAGTTTTACACCCTCTACACTATAGAACCTGCGCACAGTTTAAATTTTTAAAGAACAAAGAACGGGACAAGTTTGTTCTTTGATTGTTGCACGACTGTAATGAAATGTTTACGGGATAATTGTTACCTTGGCGAGGTCTCCACCGGGAACGACAGTTGGCGGCCTGTAATTAATACCGACTTTGAAGCCGGTCGGGCACCAATCGACGAAACGTATGCAACTTTTACCCTTCATAGCAGCGATAGCAGCATTTACGTCCTTCGGGACGACGTCACCGCGATACAATAAGCAACAGGCCATGTATTTTCCTTCACGCGGATCGCACTTTACCATCTGGTTGGATGCCTCGAAGCATTCGGAAGTGATCTCGGCGACGGACATCCCCTCGTGAAAGGCTTTATCGGCGGACACTACTGGGGCGTAGGTGGCCAGCGGGAAGTGGATTCTAGGATATGGTACCAAATTCGTTTGGAATTCTGTCAAGTCCACGTTTAGGGCACCATCGAATCTCAAGGACGCGGTTATCGATGACACCACTTGACTGATAAGGCGGTTGAGATTCGCGTAAGAAGGCCGCTCGATACCGAGTTTTCGTCGACAGATATCATAAATTGCTTCGTTGTCGACCATGAATGCACAGTCCGAATGCTCGATCGTGGTATGCGTCGTCAAAATTGCATTGTACGGTTCTACGACCGCCGTTGATACCTATATGTTTGTTAGTATTTAGTCAAGACACATTTTACCATCCATCTTATGATGACCTGCCCGGTCTAGACTCTACGTATAGTGATAGAGTCTACATTCTCGAAAAATCTAACCCTGATAGGATCATTAACCTTTTAGGTACGGCTGAATTCTACGCGAGGCTATTTCTCTGGACGGCAGAGTCTGATATGTACCTGTCTCTTATACACATCTAGATGTGTATAAGAGACAGCCACTATAGTGGCTTGCTCTAGTAGCTCACTCGCTCATCGTTTGAACCAAATAATCGTCTTCATATGCATTGTTTCACACTTCTTTTGTCTTCACATCGATTTACAACAGTCTACAGGGCTGTCTCTTATACACATCTAGATGTGTATAAGAGACAGCCACTATAGTGGCTTGCTCTAGTAGCTCACTCGCTCATCGTTTGAACCAAATAATCGTCTTCATATGCATTGTTTCACACTTCTTTTGTCTTCACATCGATTTACAACAGTCTACAGGGCTGTCTCTTATACACATCTAGATGTGTATAAGAGACAGCCACTATAGTGGCTTGCTCTAGTAGCTCACTCGCTCATCGTTTGAACCAAATAATCGTCTTCATATGCATTGTTTCACACTTCTTTTGTCTTCACATCGATTTACAACAGTCTACAGGGCTGTCTCTTATACACATCTAGATGTGTATAAGAGACAGCCACTATAGTGGCTTGCTCTAGTAGCTCACTCGCTCATCGTTTGAACCAAATAATCGTCTTCATATGCATTGTTTCACACTTCTTTTGTCTTCACATCGATTTACAACAGTCTACAGGGTGTCCCAGAAATGTCTCGCAATTCGGAGATGGCGAGTTCCTCGGATCATTTGAAGCAACTTCTTCCTTTACAAAAATGTTCTCCGAGGCACCGTTAACGAGTTATTAACGAAAAACAGTGACCAATAAGAATCGAGTACGGCTGACGCGAGGCGGCCCAGCCAACCAGCGCACGAAGCCCAGTTCCGCTCATTGGCTCGATCGCCTCACGCCAGCCGAGCTCGCCTCCCATTGGTCACTGTTTTTCGTTAATAACTCGTTAACGGTGCCTCGGAGAACATTTTTGTAAAGGAAGAAGTTGCTTCAAATGATCCGAGGAACTCGCCATCTCCGAATTGCGAGACATTTCTGGGACACCCTGTAGACTGTTGTAAATCGATGTGAAGACAAAAGAAGTGTGAAACAATGCATATGAAGACGATTATTTGGTTCAAACGATGAGCGAGTGAGCTACTAGAGCAAGCCACTATAGTGGCGTGTCGTTCTGAAAGATGACATCCGCAGAAGCCACTATAGTGGCGCGTCGTGCCTAAAAGGTTAATGCTAAGTAAGAGGTAACTGTAACGTCAGAGTAAGGGTATAGATCTACGGTATTTTGCTCCCTCTATGCGTCTATGTTGCGTACTTGAGGCGCAGGGTAAACTGCAAACTCTAGTTTGCTCTTTTTCCCGTAGTCTTCGGACAATTTTTGCATCAGCAGAGAAGTGAACCCTGAGCCGGTACCACCTCCGAACGAGTGAAACACGAAAAACCCTTGCAGACCGGTACACTGATCGGTTAATCTTCGTACTCTGTCCATTACGGAGTCTATCACTTCCCTGCCGATCGAATAGTGACCGCGAGCGTAATTGTTCGCGGCATCTTCTTTGCCGGTGATCAATTGTTCAGGATGATACAGCTGCTTGTACAGTCCCATCCGTACTTCGTCTAAAGAGAGTTTCGGTTAGCGATGTTTTAAAATAAAATTAAACTACGATTAAACTTACAATGAAAGTAATCAAAAGCAGGGTTTTTAATTAAACTTACCGACAACCGTAGGCTCCAGATCGACCATTACAGCCCGCGGTACCATTTTACCGGAGCTGGTTTCGTTGAAAAACGTGTTGAAGCAATCATTAGTGCCAGTCACTTTATCTGATGGCATCGTTCCGTCCGGTTGAATCCCATGTTCCAGACAATACAGTTCCCAACATGCGTTGCCCATTTGGACACCAGCTTGACCCACGTGCATCGAAATACATTCACGCTGCGACGTTACACAACTTACAGTTACTGTGCTGTCTCGGATTTTATGCATCAAATTGACATCTCGTTTTAAAATCTAATCAAATAGCTTCCTTCCACGCGCCACAACGAGACTTTGTAAAAAACATTCTGCACCTAATTACTTATCAACTATGTATCGAGAATAAAAACAAGAATTCTTTGCATCGTTCAAGGAAACGCTTTACGGAAAATAGCAATTCGTAACATCGTTTGAGTGCAATTAAGACAAAGATGATGATGATGATGATGATGATAATGATGATAATGATGATGATGATGAATAAATGAATTGCAATTACTAAGCGTTCCACAACAACATTTGTTGGATTTTAGATGGGAAATATATCTTACCATTTTGAAAATTTTGGAAATTGCGTTTCGTGAAAAATATATTATAATACTTTGAATTTGCTTGGTTCGTTGGACCAAAAAGGAATTAATATTTCATTGAATTACAAAAAATTTTGGACGGCTTTCTTTCGCTACCCACAGAAAAATGAACTGTCACGGTTTATAACAGTTGCCTGGACGACATAAATACATAGTGCTGTAGAATGAAGTTAAACGAAAGAAAAATTGAATACATGCATACATATATAGCTGCATAATTGTATGTCTCACCTTTACAGTTTCTTTATGATGAAATAGCTTGCAATTGTAAGTTATCGATTTATAGCATAAGCGATAATCATGGTTTGTTATCTTTTATTGCTTCAGATGTGGTAAGAGCAGTCGCAATACATTACGCTGCATATTACATGAATATTGTAACAATATTAGTAAAGACGAAATCTTTTAAAATTCATTTTTTTTTTTTAATTATAAGAATGAATGATAACTGTTATCGACCTCATTGCGCGTAAGTGTAAAGTGTTTCCGTATTGGGCAGACAAAACTGAATCGCTATTCTTAGCTTGTCGTAGGACAGCGACCTTGACATTTTCGGCACATCCCATTTCATTGAGAACATCGTGACGTATTTAGGAGTTGAGAACATTATATAATTATGTTTCAACTCGATCATGCGCGTGATTGTACACGTGTTGTCGGTATTGCTTTTGATAAGTTCTTCGTTGCTTGATAAAATCTTTGCAGCTTGTTCTCAGCCGAGTATGTTCGAATGATTACTCGTGTCGTGACTCTTCGATGATGACTCGAAGGATACCGAGTTGTTAACGCGATCCCGAGACGTCTTCAGTTAGAATAGCCGACTGCATATTACGAATTTCCTCCGAACGGTATTGTTCTCTAGAACGGATAGGTTTTAGTATGTTTAATAACATCAATAATGGACGCGAGTAAAAAATACGAAAATCCCAATCCGAAGTTATTGGCGAATCCTTTCAGTAGATTAATATTCTGGTGAGTGAAGAATATCGTCAAGCGTCGTGATTGATTTAACTGTGTCTTATCTATGTGTTTGATTTAAGGTGGTTGAAACCGTTGTTTCTGTATGGAAAGAATCATGATCTTGAACTCAAAGATATATATAATGTGCTACCAGAGGATGTCAGTCAACGTTTGGGTGATAAACTCGAGAGGTAAGTAAATATCAAACAATGCTGTAGACACAAGTCTAAGATCAGACAAATTAAGCAAACAGAGATCTCATTGTAAATTTATTTTTTATTATCTGTTTCTATAGGAATTGGCTGAAGGAAGTTAAAACAGCAGAGGAATCGGGAATAAAGCCTAAATTTTTCAATGCTTTAAAGAAAACATTTGCATGGTCATTTTCTTACTTCGGAGGATGGCAATTCTTCCTGGCTGTTGTCATAAAGTAAACGTTTCTTCTCACAGCATTATTATGTTGAAACAATAGAATTTTTGCTAATATGTAATATTATTATGATCTTGCAGAGTTTTACAACCGTATGTGCTAGGTCTACTTATTTGGCATTTTGATCCCAGATCAATATCCACTGTCACAGAAGCATATATTTATGCTTTAACTGTTGTAGTTTTAACTTTACTTAGTGCTGTAATTGTGCATCATTCGAACTTAGGTTTATTAGAAGTTGGTATGAGAATGAGAATAGCATGTTCCTCGCTGATGTACAGAAAGGTATCAAATTATATGTCTATATTTAATGTCTACCAATATTTCATACTGTGTCTCTATTTTGTAGATCCTGCGCTTATCGAAGTCTTCTACTAACATTACAACCCCAGGACAGATTGTGAACTTAATGTCAAACGATGTAGCCAGGTTCGAGCAATTGTTTATAGCGTTGCATTACATTTGGATTTTACCAATCCAGGGTGCTCTAATTACCTTTATGATCTGGGAAAGCGTAGGAATTGCTTCTTTAGCTGGTGTCTTTCTCATAAGTGTTCAAACTATACCATTGCAAGGTGTATATTATTTCCTCCTAATTTTCAAGACACTGGTAACGCTATTAAAGTAATTTTCTTTTTCTGTAGGATATATGGGAAAATGGTTTTCAAAGCTACGATTGAAAATCGCAGTTAAAACGGACGAAAGAGTGTGTTTAATGTCAGAGATTATCAACGGAATCCAAGTAATTAAAATGTACACTTGGGAAAAACCATTTGAAAAACTTGTTAGTGTTGTTAGAAGGTTTGTTTGTCTTTTTTTTTTATTTTTTTCTGTAGAAATTACCTATAGAAAGTACCTATTGTTGCATGTATGTAGTTATGTATCTATGTATGTATACTCGTGTAATGATTTTTTTAGTCGCGAAGTGGACGTACTTACTATTTCGTCGTACTTAAGAGGCTTCACTTTAGCTACCTTTGTGTTCACCGAACGCACAACATTGTACTTTACAATTGTGGCATATGTACTTCTTGGCAACAGTATATCTGCCGATAAAGTATTTTCCATGGCTCAGTACTTTAATATATTGCAACTGACTATGGCCATATTGTACCCAATGGCTGTTTCATCCGCGGCAGAAGCTTCTGTATCCATTAAAAGAATAGAGGTAGACTAATTATTAACTAAAGGAAATCACCGACTGATGAATTTTGAGCTCTGTACGTTTTATTTTCAGAATTTCTTGTTGTTAAAAGAGAACAATACTGTAGTTAATGCTAAACCAGCTCCTGGGGATGGCAGTATCACAATGAAATGTATTACGGCATCTTGGACAGAGAATGCGATTACAAGTACATTACATGATATCAGTATTCAAATAAAGCCTGGAAAACTGTATGCTGTTGTCGGTTCTGTTGGTGCAGGAAAGGTATTGTCCACACGAGTGATTTAAATATTTATCAAAGTAATACCATTCTTATTTTCTCTGTATGCTTTGCTCAGAGTTCGTTCCTGCAACTAATTTTAAGAGAATTGCAACAGTCACGCGGTGATATTCGAGTGAATGGTGATATATCATACGCTAGTCAGGAGGCATGGTTGTTCTCGGGCACAGTGCGCAACAACATACTTTTTGGGCGGTCTTATGATAAAAAGAAGTATAATGAAGTCGTTAAAGTATGTGCCCTTACTAAAGACTTCCAACAGTTTAGTCATAGCGACAAAACGTTAGTCGGAGATAGAGGCGCATCTCTCAGTGGAGGACAACGTGCAAGAATCAATTTGGCTAGGTACAGTACAGAGAGAATTACTTTTACAATGATAGAAGTGGTTTAAAATTTACACGGATACTTGTTGTAACAGGGCTGTGTACAGAGATGCCGATATTTATCTGCTCGATGACCCGTTGTCGGCAGTGGATACACATGTTGGAAAACACTTGTTCAACGAATGCATCAACAACTATCTCCACAATAAAACCAGAATACTCGTGACGCATCAAGTACAATTTTTAAAAAATTGTGATCATATTATTGTATTGAATAACGTAAGTATCAGCGATCGAACAATCGACTTAGATTCTGTTAAGTTGGTAGAAGAATGATTATGATTTTTTTATCTCAGGGTAAAATCGAATTCGAAGGCACGTTTACAGAGTTACAAGCGAAAAATTTAGATTTCTTAAGTATGCTTTCATCGGAAGAGCAGGAGGTGAATACAGAGAATGTGAAAATCGATGAAAATCATACTCCCGATATATCTGTCAATCCTCTCGACAACAGTAAAGACGACGATGAATCAGAACCTCAAGAAACCGAAGAATTGATGGGCAAAGGAGGCATTTCGAAATTACTTTACTGGAAATACTTCCGAGCCGGAGGATCGATTCTAATGATTCTAGGTTTCATGCTCTCTTTAATTCTAGGTCAACTAGGAAGTAGTGGTAGCGATTATTTTGTTGCTTACTGGTTAGCGTTTGGACACATAATTTTTTCTATCATATTACGAAGTTTTTGGACAAAATTATTTATTTAATTTATTGTGCTTTTCCAGGTCAAAACAAGAAGAAATGCGTGTGAAAAATAACATTAATCACACGTTTCAATTATTTCCACAACCTGCTATTACCACTTCTGCTTCAGTTCTAACAAATTCAAGTGAAGCGATTGATGAGATGATTGCCTTGGGCATAGATAGCTTTAATGAGACGATTCCGGAATTCCTAACGACCTCGGACAGCAGCAGTTTAGATAACAATAATGTTGGTAATATTAGTCGCCTTGTTTTACGACTTGAAAAACAACAATTACCGTCATTGTCCTTATCTTAGACGTGGATCATTAACACTGGACCGCGTGTAGCAGATTTCCTTGATCGCGAGACCGCCCTGTGGATTTATGCGATTCTCATTTTAGCGAGCATAGTCATGACCACTGTCAGAAATGTTATATTTTACAAGATATGCATGAACTCCAGTAAAAATCTCCATAATCTCATGTTTTCATCACTGTTGAAAGCTCCAATGCTATTCTTTGATACTCATCCATCCGGTAAGTATCAAACAATATTGTACATTGTCAATTTCTAATTAATTCATAAATACTAAATTAACAAAATATTATAATATTGAATTTCAGGTCGTATCCTAAACCGTTTCTCAAAGGATGTTGGAGCAGTTGATGAGATGTTACCAAGAACAATGATAGAGTCCATCCAGATATTCGCAGTGATGGTTGGAATTTTGGCCCAAGTACTTATTATTAATTGGTGGACAGTTTTCCCAATGCTTATCGTGGGCTTCTTGTTCTGGCAAATACGAAATATTTACCTCAAAACGGCACAGGACGTAAAACGTTTTGAAGGAATAAGTAAGAACATGATACTCTTAAAATGCTAAATGTGTACTTATTATTTTCTTTTGTCAAACAACATAATAATGAATATTTTCAGCGAAAAGTCCTGTCTTCTCCCATGTCAGCTCTTCATTGTTTGGATTAACTACAATTCGATCATCTTCCGCCCAAGATATGGTTCGCAAAGAATTCGATGGCCACCAAGATCTCCACACCAGCGCTTATTACTTAACTATTGTAACTAGTACTGCCTTTGGATTTGCATTGGACATGGTCTCCATTTGCTTTATTGCCTTTGTCACATACAGCTTTATCATATTGGACGATGGTAATTTATTGCTTTGTAATTTCTCCCTGTTACTAGTAATTGAGTTTGCGTTTATCTTATCAGGAAACACGTTCGCGGGGAACGTCGGGTTGGCTATATCACAAGTTTTAATTTTATGCGGCATGGTACAACATGGAATGCGACAAACTGCGGAAACGATAGCGCAAATGACCAGCGTGGAGCGAATTTTGCAATTCACACAGCTTGATAAGGAGGGGCAGTTCGATAGCGAGCCTAACAAGAAGCCGCCCGCACAGTGGCCTTTTAAAGGACAGATTCAGTTTGAAAATCTCTATTTACGCTACAGCGAGTCGTCGCCTTCCGTTCTCAAGAACTTAAACGTCCTTATCAGACCTGGAGAAAAAGTAATTTTTCATAACTTGAAACTGCGGGGAAATAATGAAATGGATAACCTAAATTGATTTAATGTTTCTTTTAGGTAGGAATAGTTGGTCGCACCGGGGCCGGAAAAACTTCTTTGATCTCAGCTTTGTTCAGACTGACTAAACTAGAAGGTAGAATATGCATAGACGACTGGGACACGAATCAAATTGGTCTTCACGACTTGAGAAAGAAGATCTCTATTATTCCGCAGGAACCGATTTTGTTCTCGGCAACTCTCCGAGATAATCTGGACCCGTTCCACAATTATGATGATGCTACTCTTTGGGCTGCTCTGGAAGATGTGGAATTAAAATCGAGTATCGTGTCCCTCGATTACTTTGTGGAGCAAGGAGGAAGTAATTTCAGTGTCGGTCAGAGACAATTACTCTGTTTAGCGAGGGCTATTATACGGAACAATAGGATTCTTCTTCTCGATGAAGCTACAGCCAATGTGGATCCTTCAACAGATTCTTTGATTCAAACCACTATCAGGCAGAAGTTCAAACACTGCACAGTGTTAACTATAGCGCACAGATTGAATACCATAATGGATAGCGATAAAGTACTAGTTATGGATCACGGAGAAGCGGTTGAGTTCGAACATCCACACGTTCTACTTCAAGATGCAGAAGGGCATTTCACCAGCATGTTGAAAGAAACTGGGAAACTTATGTTCGATCAACTAAGTAAAGTAGCAGAAAAGGTAACCATTTAGTTAATTCGTTTATAAATTAATTTGTTTCTTAGGTGCTGTAATTAAAAAAAATACTCTTATTGCATTTTCAGGCATACAAAGGCGGTTCTGAGTGCATAGAGCAGAAGGAGGTACATTCAAAATCTCTCAATGGCAACACCACGGCCAAAGATGCTTGAGAGAACGTCCGTTAGATATAAGAAAGTACTTAGCATCTTGTAATAATTACTTTCATAGTTCATTTTCGTTGCTGTAGCTTATAGTCCTTGCTGAGATGGCTACACTACTTCAGCGTATTGCATGCAAACTTAATGGCAGAAGAAACTTACGATGATAGATAAAATTATCTTTTATATTATTTTGATAACTTCGTATATTGTTCCTATACAAGAAATAACGCGGGTTTTTCCATATTGTAATGTTTTAAGAAAGTATACAAGTAAAAAAATATTTTTGAGATATACAGATACTTTTCCAAGTATCTAACAACTATGTACCAAAAACTACTTAGAATTTATTTTGTTAAAGTTGTATAAGTAAAACTATAAAAATAGTTTGTCATTTTAGAATGCTGAAGAAAGTATTCATGAACAATTTACCTCAGACACAGAATTTTTATACACTTAT